TATAGTTAAGATATGAAACTCGACTAATCCAGATACTTTAGGTTTTTTTTTTTTTTACCTTCACTCTTGTAGTATAAAGGGTTGGCAATTTTGTTTTTTTAATGTTTTGACTTACGGAATAGTGGTTCTTGTACTTGTAGTTGTTTATATACTGGTTTGGTGGAGAGAGTTGACGGTTGTGGGTTTGTGAAATGATTGTTCTGATTTAGTGGTTATAATTAGTTGGCTAGGCTAGTTAAAGTAGAGGTGGTTTTTGGCTAATTCTGGTGTCTTTCCTTATCCCCTAAATACAACAACATTTTGGAAGTTATTAATTTGAGATACTGTGCTTAAATATGACAATGGATTTTGTGAATGTTGTGTTGACAGCTTCTTGCTTATAGTATTGTCCGAGTATCATTTTAGGCTTTCTTGGCGCTTTTCTGCTTCATCTAGATGACTTTGCAGAAGCAATATGTGTTTGTTTTCTTACATTCAAGGGAAAGGAAGAGGAAACAAATAAGAGGAGATAGTTCGAGAACTTAAGGAAACATGTATCTCCTTGTCATTTGGTGCATATCAACAAATTAATTACATTTGTCAACTTCAAAAGGTTTTACTCTCTCCGTTACAATTTGTTTGTATGGTTTGGACTTGATATGGAGTTTTAGAAAGTAAAGAATACTTTGGAATTGTGTGGTCTTAAACTAAAGTTATGTAGGATGTAGCCGAAGTCCTTTAATTTTGTGGTATTAAACTTGTCATGAAAGAAGTTAGAATTAAAGAGTTGCCAAATTAGGAAAGAGATATTCTTTTCTAATGGACTAAAAAGGAAAGTAAGACAAACAAATTGAAACAGAGGTATGTGAGCATTCTGTTTGAGTTGGAAAAGAAGGGTGATGTCCCTCTTCTCTAGACATGTTAGGTATACTGAAGTGGCAGACAATCTGCAAAGGAAAGTATTATCTTTCTTTCCAATCAACCTTTATCTGCCCTCTTTTTCCTGCTTTTAGTTTTTGGGAAGGATGGGGATACTTTTATTTGGCATGAGGACCGAAACTTCCCTTCCTTTCTAGTGGAGGCAAGTAAGTGAAAAGTTCCTCATCCTCTTTAAGCTTTTGCTTTCACTGAATCTAAAGGCATACTGTTTCCTCAATTTCTGATTTTTATGTGACTTTGCTTAACTTCTTGGCTTCAACTTCATTGTTAGCAAAATTATACATCAAAGAAGGAAAACTGTGATATCATTTTCAAAAAAAAAAGAAGGAAAACTGTGATTCAAGGATCATTATAGAATGGATACCTCCTGAAGGCATGTTTCATTCGTTTGAATCTTTTGTCCTTTTTAGGTATTAATCTTTCTTATTCCCCATGGACTTCGTCAACCACCATCACTATAGTGTTTTGACTCAGCCCTTAATCATCTCAAGTTTATAAAACATTTCAAGTCATATCCAAGACGTGCTCAGGAATTTCAGGGTCTTACTACTATCTATACAGAAACGTTGATAATTGTTGTCGCAAGATCTGTATTTATCCTATTGAGTTGTTTTTTGCTAGAAAATAAAGGGCAGCATATTGTAGGAAGCAGATTCACTGCTATATTAGTTTCTGTTATGTCATGCCTCACTAGCTTTTTAGATAAGAATATTGTGTACTATTCTAGAGTTGTGTTTTTCTCCTTGGTGACTTAAAACAGCTTGCTAATGTTGAAATCCTTATTCTGGTCTTTATGGTTGTTATAAGCACATTATATCCACTATACTAAGGAAATAGAAATTATTAAATCCGTGGTTTTGATTTGGTTAACTTCATTCACATGCTAAAGATTTCTTAAACAAAGTATTGAGCTAAACACTAGAATAAAATGCATTGAGCAACAAAAAGATTAGAACCACCAAGAATGGCACCAAATTAATATGTTATATGTTATCTGTCAAAAAAATTAGTATGTTTCTATGTCTATCCATGCAATTTGACCTCTTTGCCATAACAGAAGTACTAAAGTCCATCTGTGGTGCATTGATGGTGTGAGAATTATATGGTTCGCTGAAATTTGCATATATGATGGTTAGATATAACTATGGTGTTTTATAACTGTCAAGGTACTAATTTGCCATTGGCAATGGTCTCAAACCAAAATTTTGGTCCCTACTATAGGCATTAGGCATATCTCTCAATGCTTATTAGGTGAAATTTAGTAAGAAGTGATATTAGTCATGAAGTTTCCGAGCTATGCACCTTTTTGATGTAAAACGTTTAAAAGTTCCTAAATCCCATCAACCCATATACGGTCAGTATTTTGCTCTTGATAGCACGTAAGGAATCTAATATCTGAAATTTGGGTAATTCTGAGTAGGTATGCGCTATGCACAGTCATTAGTGTTACTCCGATAATAACTCAATACTTGTGTGTTTCTGTCAGTCTCATACATATATGTGTGTATACATTTTTGTTTTCCTTCAATACTCGAAGACGCCATGTATGTTATATGCTTGTTCTTACCTGAAAAAACAATTCATGTGTGTTTGTTTAAACTTAATACAAATGTACTTGCTCTAGCAAGCATTACTAGTTAATCTGATATTGTTTATTACAAAAGATTGACCGAGAGGATTATAAACAAATGCATCTTTGTATATTCTGAGACAATTTTGTGGGAGTCATAGAGCTTGTGTTGTGGAAACCTCATAATCTGTCATCATGCCTATGTGAAAAAGCCGACTTTGAAGTAGACTTTCTACTGTGACAGCAGAAAAACTTGTTTTTGTCGAGAGCCATGTTCCACAATTTTAGGATATCGTGGTTTTAGATGATACCTATCTGAATGAGTTTTGGGGGGTGAATTTAGTTGTGCCAGATATTTACACCAAACCATTGAATGCAAGATGTCTTTCATACAGACATTTATTACTTAACCATGGTTAAAGTAACGTGTATTCTCAGTTTAATTTGTAACTGCTAAGGTTGAGTTGCTTGATTTGATGTAAACACCAGGGGCGGGTAGGTATTACCATGAAGGGGGTGTTTGTTTCAGTAAGCTTTTCTACTTTTTAGAATGAGATTTTAATACTTGTCATGAGAGATTTGAAATCAAGAAAAAGTCTTATCTGAGGTCAGCAAGCTCATCTTCTCAGATAACTTGTGGCTTTTCAATAGCTTCCTTTGTTCATGAATCATGATAATAGCTGCTCGGTACTTGGTTCCAGGTTCCATCAATTAACTGAATTCGACCAGGGGAAAAGGAGTTGCCGCAGGAGACTGGCATGCCATAATGAGCGTCGTAGGAAGCCTCCATCTGGATCTCTTTTCTCTACACACTATGGGAATCTTTCTTCATCAATATTTGGTTTGATAGCATTCCTCTCACTTTCTCTTTGTTTGCGTTAATACTATAAAATTTAAGCTCTTACTAAGAAAGAACTTAAGGCTGACTTTCATTATTCTGGTTTGAACTTGTAGAAAATAATAGCAGCAGATCCGGAAGCTTTCTGGTCGACTTCAGCTCACACCAAAATGTCAATGATAGTTCATGGCCAAATACTCGAGCATCTGAACAAGGATGGGATCATCAATCATCAGGAAAGTTCCTTCAACGTCCTTGGCTGAATAACTCTGAAAATGCTGCCAGTGAGCTTGTTTTGCAAGGTTCAGCTACCAGGACCAGTTATCCTAGTGTTCCTTCTGGAGACTATTTTCCTGGAGTCTCAGATTCAAGTGGTGCTCTCTCTCTTCTGTCAAATCGGTCCTGGGGATCAAGGAATCGATCCCCAAGTCTTGGGGTTAACAGCCAAGTTCACATTGATGGGGTACACACCATTCAACCTTCAGGTTCTCATGGTGCACCTACCAATCACTTCTCAAGCCCTTCATTGAGTTTTAAAGGAAATGAAGCTAGCAGCAGTTCACATGAGATGCCTCCTGATCTCGGTTTGGGTCAAATGTTACAAGCTTCTGATAATCCATACTGTGGCGAGCTTGGGATGGCTCAGCATGGTGATGGACGACAATACATGGAACTGGACCAGTCCAAGGGTTATCATCCTTCTGTTCAGAATGTGCACTGGACTCTTTGATTGTCCTCTCCTTCGTTTATGATCACGATTGTAAGACTATTTTGTTCATTATCTAGTTTGATATCTTAAAAGGCTGTCTGTTGACAAATGACCTTTACTATTATGCCAACTACTGTGCATTTCTGTTGGGCTAGACCCCAGATGCCTATCGTTTTCTTCTTGAACTTTTTGATGACTTGCTTCGGTTTTTTCCTCTTGCTAAATGATATTCAAGGGGTTAAATGAAGTTTGAACATTTATCAATAAATATGCTTCATTATGATGCCATAGTCATGCCTCTTGCTAATTTTTCATTTCTGCACTTTTTGTTTTAGTCATCCTGTATGTGTGCACATTGGCTTGACTAATCCGAATTTGTACTGTATGGGACCCATTATAGGGGGAAACGCTCCCCATTTCCTAAGACTTGAAATCCGACACTCTTGATTAAGGGTGGAGGAATTCCGTCCATCCCATCACACTTTGTGGGGAAGGGTTATGCGAAAAAATGCGAAGGTGCGAAGAATATAGACGTAGAGAAATATATGGACATATAATTTAAAAAGTGGCCTAAAAAGGGAATATGATGCAAATAATTCAACAGGTAAAATTCACACATAGCCGCTTTCATTTTACAATTAAGCTAGCATTTGACCATGAAGTTTAATCATACTAGCTTTTACAAAACTTCAATTTCAAATAAAATGTATGTTTAAATACAACTTCAAAAATTCAAATTTTCCAACTTTAAAGTTATAGCCAAACATAAGCTAAAACTTCATGACTTTGACTATCTCAAAGACGAGACGAAAAAGCGACAAGTGGTGAGTGGATGCTATTTCTACTAATCCAAAATGGGTTAGATTTGCAAAAAAACAATGGGCCTATAAAGCCCATTAGAAAATGTTTTACGTGTATTGTTTATTGGGCCGAAATCTCAATAATGATCCATTGGATCAATATATTACCCATATTGCACAAGCCATCTTCTTCGCTTCCTTCTCTCTTCACAAAAATCGCGAAACAGATCAGTGCCATTTCCAGCTTGGTGAGTTCTCTGAGCTTAACTCTCTCTATCTATACAAATCATATGGTTGATTTTGTTGTAATTAAGTGCATGTGAATTATTTGTATTTAATTCTATATTTTTTGTTTTTTTTTTCCCGAGAAATTTAGTAATGTAATCCGATTTTAGGGTTCATAGAAATGGTAAGAGTTTTGTTAGTTGAATGGAATATGAGCTTCATTTTTGTTATATGGATTGTGGTCAAGTCTGTGTAATGGATCGCAGTTTTTTCAGTTAATTTTAATTGGCAATTGTTTTCCGTTTACTTTTAGCATTGTTTGAGGAGCTAGAGAATGGAAGAGCATGTGGATGATATTGACTTGTTAATATTAAGGCTGATTTGTTGCTATATTAGGTCCATTGCTTGCTAATAGCCCTTTTGTTATGGTCACAAAAAACTTGTATATTGGTGTAGGTGTAATTCATAAGTGTGAGCTTTAAAGAAGCTGGAGCTTTAGGAGGGTACCACTAATTTTCCTTTAAAGACAAATTATTTAGTACAACAACAATATACTTAGTGTAATCCCATGAGTGGGGTCTGGGGATGGTAGATCGTATGCAACCCCTACCTTGGGGGTAGAGAGATTGTTTTTGATAGAACCTCGGCTCAAGGAAAAGCGATGCAAAGCAGGTCGAAAAAGAAATGACGAAGTGGAGAAGCTATGACAAAATAGTATAGAGAGCATGACAAAGCAGTCTAAAAAAAGGAGTAGAGATAAATTATTTAGTATTGGAATAAAATGGGCCTGACTAGAGCGAAATGCATACAGTGGGTGCCCAATTAGAGCGAAACGAATACAATGAGGGGTCGTTTGGTGTGAGGGATAAAAATAAATAGTCATGGGATAAGAAAACAGTGATGGGATAAAAAAAAAAAATTTGTGTCTTGTTTGGTTGCCATGTTTGGGATAACTTATCCCACCATTTATACCATAGTGATGGGATAAGTTATCCCATATACATGGTGTGATAAGTTATCCAGTTATCCTGGGATAACTTGTTCCCAACCAAATGACCTATGAGAGTTTTAGAGAACCTCGAGCTGTAGGGGTAAGTACCCTAATTTTCCATAAAAGACGAGAGTATTTAGTATTGGAATAAAATGAACCCTATTGGAGCGAAATGAATACAAAGGATTTGTATGGCCTATTCCAACTAGTTTGGGATTAATATAGCATCTAAGGATGTGCTCCTGAAAGGAACTAATGTGGGTTTTATTTTTGGATGTGGTGATTTAGATTAGATACAACCCTTATTTGTCTTTAAGATTCCTATGTAACAGATAGGGTATCCTTTAGTTGAGATTATGCATTTAAAAGAAAAAATGTGTTCATTCATTTTCTCTGCTTAGATAAATGTTTTTAAAATGGAATTTCATGTAACCAGATGCGATAAATGATAACTCTCTGTCATGTCTGAATTGTGTTACAATTTGAGGATAAGAGAGGCACTGCCTTTGCTTGAACATGTACTTATAGGTTGTTTTCATATTCTTTTGCTCATCTCTAACCTTCACACATTTCTATGTACATCACACGTGGTTAGTGGCATATTTCGTAACTTGGTGACCAATTGATAACGTGTGTCTTGGAAAAATCAAATGTTCAGTTGAGTTTTAAGCACAAGGTGTAATTATATGAGGGAAGGTCAATTGTCTAGCCTTACTTAGACTTCTGATGGTTTTCTGAATGTGAAGCTCACATTTTTTTTTTCACAAACTTCTTCTGCTTCTTACATTTTTGTTGAACCTACTTGATTTGGTTAGAGACTATTAGAAGTATGTTTGAATAGTGTATTACATTACATCCAAGTCTTTTTTTTTTGAGAATGATTAATATTTAAAATGAATGCAAACACTTATTGCAAAGATATCTGTTAATCACAAGAAAAAAGCTGTAAGATTAGTTCCATATACTATTAATGTATGTCTCTCCAAAAATATAGTGGCAGGTGCCACACCCTTACCGGATCCTCCAAATATGCACTTCTTTTGGAGGATCCAACATGCACCAAGGCAATATTGTTAAAGAGTCTGAACAACAATGCTGTTAAGTAGTTCTGTTTTGCATCTTCTTGAATTGTTCATATGGAGAACTTTCAGATTCAAGTAGTGGGTAAGTAAAACTGAGGCAGTATTAGAAGGCAGAATGAGTAGTTATGGACCTACACGCAGACACAATCTTATGAAGTCTTTTATGTATGGGATTGGGTAAGCATATAGGGTCATGGCCGAACTAAATTTATGTGATCATTGTTTTCTCATCATTTACTTCTTATGGACTAAGATGTTTTTCTTGCTTCAAATATTTATGTTTGCGACACACTATTTCTCACCGTCTCTTGCCTTTGGTATCTGGTTATTAGTTCAAGCATATCTTGTTTTCACATTTTTTGCTGGTGTTTTGGTAAGGATAGTGTAAAATCATGGATGAGGCTGCAGAGCTAAGGTATTATGAAGAGGAGGATTCACCAGGGATGAAAACACTGAAAGGTGCAACCTCAGGTCTAGTTGCTGGTACTCTTTGGGGTGCCATTATTGCCACTTGGCATGATGTACCCCGTGTTGAGAGAAATGTTGCTCTTCCTGGTTTGATCCGGACATTGAAAATGATGGGAAACCACGGGCTTACCTTTGCTGCTATTGGTGGAGTCTATATAGGGGTAGAACAGCTGGTGCAGAACTATAGGGTGAAAAGAGATTTTATTAATGGAGCAGTGGGTGGATTCGTTGCTGGTGCTTCTGTGCTGGGTTACAAAGGTAATCCCCTCCTCTCCACACAACAACATCCTTTCAACAGAGAAAGTGTTTGTGGACTGATTTCTTATAACAAAAAAGGGTTTGTTCTTAGTTCACATCCAGCGTAGTGCCTATTTATAGTGCTGGTATTTAATTGGCATTGTGATGGGTGCATCTATTTAATTCTTATCATTTCCTGCCCTGGTGTTCTTGGTTTGCAGTGAAGGTTTTGGTTGATTTCAATTCCTTCATCATCTCTATTTTAGATATGCCTATTAAGATTTTTAACTTCACAAACAATAAATCGTAGATTATCTTTCCCATTAATCCGATTTACGTAGGATTTGTATGTGCTGTATGGGCAAAGATTTCTTAAACATCACCACAACCATTTTGCATGGCATTTCATTTAGTTCACGAAAGAAACAGGGGTGAGTCTTTTTTAGGACCTGTCACAGAATAGTTATGCCACTCTTGCTACAGAGAGCAGTAACCCCTTGACTCAACCGATACTACAGGTATTTGAGAGCAGATTAATAGATTTCCCTGCGCAGAATGAACTTTTCATGAACCAAAAGTTAAGAATTTTAGTGAGTGTACAATCTCATGAGTTGCAAAAGGCAATTATGCAGATTAAGTACAACATTCATTGACGGTGTTCTATACCCTTGCCTCTGGTAACAAACCAACCCAATGTTACTGTGGTACCAAACTGATTTGACTGTTACCCTTGTAGGAAGGAGTATTCCAACTGCTCTCTCTGCTGGAGCTGCACTTGCAGTTACTTCTGGTATAATTGATGGACTAGGCGCGACCACAAGAACTGACAATGGCAAGGAGTACTATCCTTACACTACAAAGAAAAGAGTTGTTGCTGAATGATTGGTAGTTGGACAGAATTAATGTGACTCGGTGAAAGCTCACTATGAATGATGTGACTGCACCTTCTTGTTTTATTCTGTTCTCTTTTTGCTGTAACCTGAAAGGATGATGCAAATAAGCATGCTATGTACTCTATTTTCTAGCATCTCATGTGATTTTTGATTGAGTATGAATACCTGACCATATATATTCATGTGTCATGTGTTGTTCGATATTACAACGCTCTTTGGCTTCTCTATTTCTGATTAAGAAATGTGATGATTTACTAGACAATTGTGGTTTGCAAAATGAAGTCTGACCTTAACCTTGTTGAAGCACAATGTACGTTTTGTTTTGCTGTATTGGGAAAATTAGATTTGCCTGCAAGTGAACCTTTGGTAGTGGAATATTTAATGTGCGACTGTTATCTCATAGAAGAGACTGCTGACATCTTCTCGTACTCCCTCATTCGACATTGTTGTTTACTCTGATCAATCTACTTGTCACATCATGCAATGCCATTTTTGAGAGTTTGAGCAATATTTATTGTAGTGACAATGGATTAAACTATTTCTTTTGTTTATTTTTGATACATTTTTTTCTTGGTAATGTTCTTGCTTTCACGGGCTCATCAGCTCCATAGTTCCTCTCCACCTTAAAAGGACAAGCCACCAAAAAATGCTAAATTGATACTCCCTCCTATTGTCTAAGGTATCCCATAATTACAATAATTGTAAAACTTCTTTCATTATATTACCTTTAATTTTGTTAAAATGAGTAATAATTGTTGAGAGGTTTCTTGAAAAATAATGTGAATCATTTTTGGAGCAAGGTGAGGATTTCAAAAAAGTAATTATTACTCTTCTGATCTTTTTAACTTGAAAATCAAATTTGTAAAAAAAACATGATAACTGAAATGAATCAGAGATAGTAGGATAAACGTGACACTAGACTATGTGCCAGACATTATCGAATCTCATTCTTGCATCATAATCATAAATGTCTCGAGTTTAACGCTATTACAATTATACATTTTACATTTCTCGTGACATAAAATTTGAAAAAAAAACAAGAAGAATGAAAGAAGAAAGTTTATATTTATTTATTCGATAAATTATTCAAATAAGAAAGAAAAAAAGACAACACAATAATTAGCTTGAATTAAATAGAAAACTTGCATAAATTTTGTGATACATATAACTATTTCTTTAGAATCTATGATATCTTCGATAAATAATGAATTAGGAAAATAATAATTAATCCAATTACTAAAGTTACCTTCTTGTAAAACATTAAAATTTCTTCGCATTTATATACAATGACTACAAAATATATATCATAGATATACACATTGTTACTTTAATTTTTAATTATTAAGACTAAATTATTTTCTTATATAAAAAATAATTCGATGCGAATAAATACTTAATCACTATGGGATTGGCACGTGTGAAGTCCAGACATACTCATCGCACGCGCGACCCGGTTCCTCTGGTCAAGCAAACACAAGACCAATAGGTACCCAAATAAAGAGAATTCAATGAAAAATTGGAAAAATAATACCCCTCCATCCCATTTTACGTGACATTCTTTTCTTTTTAGTTCGTTTAAAAAAAATATCTTATTATAATTTGAAACTATTTAACTTTAATAAAATGATTTTTAACCATATTCTTTAAGGATTATTTTAGATCATTTTTTCTGACACACGTTCTAAATCAAAAGTGACACATAAAATGGAACGGAGGCAGTAATATTTTTTTAAAAAATAAATAGAGAGACAGAAACACAAATATTCACACACACAAAGTGAGAAAATCTCAGCAGATTCACTCCACCCCCCAGCCCCCTACCCTACCCTACCCCACCCCATTGGAATCAGACAAAGAACACAGAGCTCTCTTATACCCTCTTCACTGTTTTCTTCTTTCTTTCTTGTGTTGTGTACTTTGTTGCCTTTTTCACTTTTGATTTTTGCTCACTACACCATTTCTACTACACTTTGGTTCAAGAAAGAGCAAAACCCCAAACCCCTTTTGCTTTTTTTTTTCCTCCTTAACTCCATTCTTGATAACCTTACCAGTAAAAATCCAATCTTTCCTCTTCAGATTCTATGAAACCTCAAGGTACATTCACTTTTTCTTTATGGGTTTTTGTTTTTGATGTAATTTTATAGAAAAAAATTGATTTCCTTTTTTCATGCTTTTTGGGTTCTGTGTGTTTTGAATGCTAGGATGGTGTTAGTTGTTGGTGTCTGTTGAGCACAATGTGGTTAGATTTTTGGCTTTCAAATGACTAGTTTTGTTTTGCTTTTGCTTTTGTTAACTTTCTCTTTATGTGGGTAAGAGTAGTTCTTGTATACAGTTTGTCATAGCATTGATTAAAGATTGCTTACTTTTTTTGCTGCTCTATAAGTTTAGTTTTGTGTTTTTGATATATGTTATCTTCTATTGTTTATTGTGCTTCGGATATCACATTGTTCCGCTATTTTGATGTTGTTGCTTTTCCCTACTTTTATAACTACTTTGATTTGATTTGCTGCACCTGAGCTGAGGATGTTTTGGAAACAGTCTTTCTACCTCCTCGAGATGAGGGTAAGGTACATTACCCTCCCTAGACCCCACTTGTGGAATTACAATGGATATGTTGTTATTGTTTTGTATGGAAAAAGAACTGATTTTTTTTTTATGTTATGAATGTTTGAAGCATTCAGATCTGGCTGTGAATGTTTTTGTCATTATTCTGATTGTCATTCAAGTGGTTCTTTTCCCCACTTTTAACTCTTTAAGTTATTCATGTGACAAAGATCTACTAGTCGACATTCTCTAGATTTTGCTATCTCATCTTTTTGGATACATCTGCTTAACACTCTGTTTGGGTTCAATATTTTTGGTGCAGTAACATAGTTCGGGAGTTTTCTTTGCTGGTAACTGGTTGTCTGTGCTGAGGTCTTCCTTCTGTTGATCACTGGGTCACATTCTGGTGGAGAACTAGAGGGGTTTTGTGCTTTTGACAAAGATTTTGTGTCAAGTGTTGTTGCATCAACCTCAAAAATGCAGAGGCCCCATCAAGAAGATTTCTCACTCAAGGAGACCAAACCCCACCTTGGTGGAGGGAAGATCACTGGTGATAAGCTCACTAGCACATATGACCTTGTTGAGCAAATGCAGTATCTTTATGTCCGGGTTGTGAAAGCTAAGGATTTACCTGCGAAAGATGTTACAGGTAGTCTTGATCCGTATGTTGAGGTTAAGCTTGGGAATTATAAGGGTACGACTCGTCATTTTGAGAAGAAGTCTAATCCTGAGTGGAGTCAGGTGTTTGCTTTCTCAAAAGATAGGATTCAGGCTTCTGTACTTGAAGTGACTGTGAAAGATAAGGATTTTGTTAAGGATGACTTTGTGGGTCGTGTTCTGTTTGATTTGAATGATATCCCAAAAAGGGTTCCTCCAGACAGTCCTCTCGCTCCACAGTGGTATAGATTGGAGGAGAGGAATGGTAACAAAGTCAAAGGAGAGTTGATGTTGGCTGTTTGGATGGGAAATCAAGCTGATGAAGCCTTTCCTGAAGCTTGGCATTCAGATGCTGCAGCTGTTAGTGGGGCTGATGGCCTTGCAAATATAAGGTCTAAGGTGTACCTCTCGCCAAAATTGTGGTACCTAAGAGTTAACGTGATCGAGGCTCAAGACTTGATTCCAAATGACAAAAGCAGGTTTCCAGAAGTGTATGTCAAGGCTATCCTTGGAAATCAAGCATTGAGGACCAGAGTTTCCATGAGCAAGACTATCAATCCCTTGTGGAATGAGGATCTGATGTTTGTAGCAGCGGAACCATTTGAGGAGCCATTGATTTTGAGTGTGGAAGATAGAGTTGCACCAAACAAGGATGAAGTCCTTGGGAGGTGTGCTATTCCTTTGCAGTATGTGGATAGGAGGTTGGACCATAGACCTGTGAACACGAGGTGGTTTAATCTTGAGAAGCATGTTATTGTTGAGGGAGAAAAGAAGGAAATCAAGTTTGCTAGCCGGATTCACATGAGAGTATGTTTGGAAGGAGGCTACCATGTTCTGGATGAGTCAACCCATTACAGTAGTGATCTTAGGCCAACTGCAAAACAGCTGTGGAAATCTAGCATCGGTGTTCTTGAAGTAGGTGTTCTGAGCGCTCAGGGCCTGTCACCAATGAAAACGAAGGATGGGCGGGCAACGACAGATGCCTATTGTGTAGCAAAGTATGGGCAGAAGTGGGTGCGGACAAGGACAATTATAGATAGCTTTGCTCCCAGATGGAACGAGCAATACACCTGGGAAGTATTTGATCCTTGCACTGTTATAACTATTGGTGTATTTGATAATTGCCATCTGCAAGGAGGAGATAAATCTGGAGGGGCAAGGGACTCAAGGATTGGAAAGGTCAGGATCCGTCTTTCGACTCTTGAAACTGATCGTGTTTACACACATTCATACCCACTGCTGGTCTTGCATCCTACTGGGGTGAAGAAGATGGGTGAAATTCATTTGGCTGTGAGATTTACTTGCTCGTCATTGGTGAATATGATGCATATGTACTCACAGCCATTGTTACCTAAAATGCACTATCTTCATCCGTTAACTGTTACTCAGCTGGACAACTTGAGGCACCAAGCCACTCAGATTGTCTCCTTGAGGCTGAGTCGTGCTGAGCCACCTTTGAGGAAAGAGATAGTAGAGTATATGTTGGATGTTACTTCTCATATGTGGAGCATGAGGAGAAGCAAGGCAAACTTTTTCAGGATTATGGGTGTTTTAGGTGTGGTAATATCTGTCGGAAAATGGTTTGATCAAATATGCAATTGGAAAAATCCCATTACGACTGTTCTGATCCATATCCTGTTCTTGATACTGGTTCTTTATCCAGAGCTTATTCTACCTACCATTTTCCTCTACCTCTTCTTGATCGGAATTTGGTACTATAGATGGAGGCCAAGACATCCTCCTCACATGGATACTCGACTTTCTTGTGCTGATACTGCTCATCCCGATGAGCTGGATGAGGAATTTGATACTTTCCCTACTTCACGTTCTCCTGATATTATCAGGATGAGGTATGACCGCATAAGAAGTATTGCAGGGAGGATTCAGACCGTGGTTGGCGACTTGGCTACTCAAGGAGAGAGGCTGCAGTCTTTGCTGAGCTGGAGGGACCCTAGAGCAACAGCATTGTTCGTGATTTTCTGCTTGGCTGCTGCTGTTGTTCTCTATGTCACTCCATTCCAAGCCGTAGGTCTCTTGACAGGATTTTATGTATTAA